TCTTGCTCCTCCTCCTCCTCCTCCTCCGCCTCCTCCGCCTCCTCCCTCCTCCTCCTCCTCCGAGAGGCCCACCTCGCGGATAGGGGATCTCTTCCCCGGCGGGCCCCACGCGGCGACCCCGCGGCGACGTCGATGCACCCCCCGGGGGGGGGGGGCGTGCCGCCGGGGGCCACCGCTCCAGCCAGGGCATGCGCCAGAGCCCGGCCCCTCTGGCCAGGGAGACGTGCAGTCATCGTGCTGCCATGGTACGCTCGTGGATGCCATGACAGTGGACACTCCAGCAATCCTATCACTGAATCCTAAATGCGTAAAACATGTTCTCGAAATGTGTCAAACATGTGTTTACATGTTTGAAACATGGTTGAAACGTGTTGTAGACATCTGGAAAGTATCTGGCAGCATGCTTCCTCTCCATTGATCGAACTCCACAATGATACGCCACGAGAACATGTACAGAGACGCCCTCCGACGAAGCTTGCATGCGCCTCCCTGTGTCTGAAACCGCTGGCTCCCTGTGGTGACTTCGGCACCGCCGCCCCTCCCTGAGGCCCAGGAGCAATCCCGTGGAGGGCGTCTGTGCACATCTTCTGTGGCGGGCAGCAGGCACGCCACACCAGAAGCAACGGGGGGGACCTCGCCTGCCACGGCGAGCCGCGGCAGCGAACAGGTCTCCCGACCTGGACCTGCGAGACCGCCCGGAAAGCCCGAGCCCACCCCGAGCCCAGAGCGGTCCTCGTCTCGGCGTCTTGACTGCAAGACTTAATCCGGCCTGTCCCCCTACAGGGGGATTTTCGACGAAAAATAAAAAATACCCCAAAAATAATCCAAAAATGGTCTGGGGATTATCTTTGGACTACTTTTGTTGCCTTTCTGGGGCATTTGGGGGGTATCTTCTATGTTTCGTCGAAAATCCCCCTGTAGGGGGACACGCCCGACATAATGCAAGACTCGAGCGCCGGAGACTCGGGCGTGCCCGACGGGGCCGTCGAAGGGTTGTGGGCCCCGTGGCCGGAGATCGGGCACGAGCTCCCGCCGCGGACACCTCGCGGAAGCCCTGCCCACAAGGGACAGGGACTGCCGCCAGTCATCGGCACACCGTTTCGGCACCACTGCTCGGGCGCACGCCAACATGCGACGACGGCGACGACGCCGACCGCGGGGATGAAAACGGCCCCCCGACCTTCCGTGGACCGCGCGGGGGGCGGGTCCAGAGGGGGGCGTTCAGCGCCGGCCCAAGAGATCCGCAAGTACCTCCCAAGGCTAGCTGCTATTATGCCGTTAGCTTTTCCTCGACGGCTCAATCGATGGCGAGGAACTGACGTCGGTCGTCGTCCCCACCCTGTGCAACGGCACGACCACGACGGCAACGGCGACGGAGGGGGGTGGAAGACGGCCCCCGTCTCCAGCGCGGCCGTGGCGACGGTGGCGACGACGGCGGCGGCGCGACCACGGCGACGGCGACTGCAAGCTTCTGTGGCGCAGAGGGGGTGGGCTTCCAAGAAGGCGGGCAGGGGCTTCTCAGAAGGCCCTGCCAGACGCCCCTCGCCTTCTTAGAAGGCCGCCCCCTCCCCTCTCGCGCCGCCCCCCGTGTGCGCGCCGCCAGGAGCGACGACGACAGCTCCAAACCCAAACCTATGGCGTCGCGCTTCCTCAACGGTGCGGGCCCCCAGGGGGCTCCTCGACCAAGTCCCAAACGACACATGCTGGGGCATGGTGGGGCGACGAGATCTATACATGCCCACTGCTCCTGGCCAAGCTCACCCTGGGCCAGGGACAGGGGTGCTCCTGGCTCCAGGAAGGGCCTGACCAGGGGCAGTAGACACGTGTTTGTCTTCCATGAACAAGGACCCGCCTGTCACGACCCAGTGCAACGGCCAGGCTGCAGTGCAGGCGAGCAGCCACCAGCCAGAAGCAGAGTCACGGCTCTCATGGCACACCGCGCCGAAAGACGGAGGTGTAGGGGGCCACATGTGAACCCCACCCTGCCCCTCAGAAATCGTGGGGGGTAGGGGTAGGGTTCACATGTGGCCCCCTAAGGTGGACTGCAGATTCCGGGTGCCCGTTCTGCACGCCCCCGTGGACACGTGCACAGATCCCGCCTCGCCACACAGTGGGCCACCTCCACGGCAGCTCCACACCGAGACGCCGAGACCTTCAGCGCCCCGCCCTCCTCTGCGCAAACATGGCTGCATTGGCGATCCAGGGATTTGGCGCGCGGTCGCCAAATCCATGGATCGCCCCTCCCAACAATGCGGCCAGCGCCGCCTCGCTCGGCGGCGGAAATCCGCGATGTCCCATGGAAACGGGACCAGTCGCTAATTCACGCCCCCTTGATCCATGTTTGCGATCGCCTGACAAACAAAGGCCTCCACCCTCCACCCCTGGACGTCCGCTGGCGCAGCGTGGCTCCCCAGAGGTTTGGACCCCCTCCCCGGGGGGCCCGCTCTCTTCGTCCTGGGCCGTGCTGTGACGGTCCCCGGATCCCCGGCCCAGGGCCCCCGGAGGCCGAAGATGGGCAGAAGCCCCGGTCGCAGGATGGGATGTCTCGGGGATGGACAGAACCCCCTCTGACAAAACGTGCTTTCGTGAAAACGACCTCGGGCCCAAATCTGGCGGGCGCAAGCCTGGACGCGGCGCCCTCTCGAGAGCCGAAAACGGACAGTTCACTGATCGACGTGTCAGGGTGGGGGTTCTGTCCACCCCCGAATGTCAGAGCCCCCTGCTCCCTGGACCTCTCCTGGGGAGCTGTCTGACCAGGATTTCAAGGCGACTCCGACCGTGGGGACTAGGGCCTCCAAGGAGGCAAGAACAGGCGAGGACGAGGGAAACCTAGCCGCACCGGCACCTTTACCCCCTGGCTTTCGGGTCATACCTCGGTTCTCCGTTGGCCGTTCGGGGCGATCCTGGCAACCCCAGAACACTCTCGGCGAGGCGCAGCCGCTGGAAGGCATCCCGAGGCTGGGAAACCACCGAGAGCCGACGAAAGCGCCCGATAGCCTCGAACCTCGAACGAGGGACGGGTAGCGACATCGACACCTCTGCCTCCTCTGACGAACGGTCGCACTGAAAGTGCGCCCCCCCTAGAGGCCTCCCAGATGGGGTCGGAGTGGATAGGGTCGGGTCGGAGGATCGCGCAGCATCGGCGACGTCAGCGATGCAGCGGCGACATCCGCGTGGAGAAGATCGAGAAACATCGCCGATACATCGGCGATTCGGCGCGGTCCTCCGACCCCATCGACTCTGACCCCATCTGGGAGGCCTAGACCCTTGAAATCCGACGCTGCCCCAAAAAAAACATCGCCGAAAAGACGACAACGACAACGACAGTAACAACAACAACAACAACAACAACAACAACAACAACAACAACAACATCAACAACAACAATAACAACAACAACAACAACAACCACCACCACCACCACCACCACCACCACCACAACAACAACAACAACAACAACCACAACCACAACCACAACCACAACAATAACAACAACAACAACAACAACAACCACCACCACCACCACCACCAACAACAACAACAACAACAACAAACAAACAAACAAACAAACAAACAAACAATCAATCAATACAACAACAACAACACCAACAACAACAACAACAACAATTACTAGCACGTGGGGACACACCGTTCTCACCAGTGCCAGGGTTTTCATAGGAGGCGGGCAATACCCCCACTTTGTGGGGGGGCCGGTTCAAGCTCTACCAAATTTCCAAACGACTCTTCGCCACCACCCACACCCAGCTTCCCGCCCTATGACGTTCGGACACTTCACTTCGTGGCATGCGGACGACCGTGGCTACTATTCAGGGCCCCGCGGCCGACGACGACGGCGTGCGCGCGCGAAGAAAAAACGAATGTGTCCCGCATGGTATTATTTGACAGGAATGATGGCCCTGGCAGGTGCGCAACCGTTGTTGCAGAAGTTCGAAAAAGTTGCTCGCAAAAGCCCGTTTGACAGAAATGTTTAAAAAGTGTTGGGTTTCCTACGAATCCGCAAGAGCGCGCGGGATGAAATTTTGACAATTTTTTTTTGAAAAACCATTGGTTTTTTGATGTTTTTATGTTAAAATCGCTACGAAAACTAAGGTTTTGGAAGGATTTCGTCTTGCGCGCGCGAATGTCCACTTTACCTTATTTTTTGCAAGGGATTCTTGAAGTTTGGTTATGTTAGAACAAGAAATGTCCACTTTAGCTTATTTTTTGCAAGGGAAAACCGATCGTAACAACACAACCGGATCCGGACTCCCCCGTTTTGCCTGAGACTTCCTCACGAAAATGATGAAAATGAGGCTGCGGCCTAGGCGCGGCTGGGGGGTCGTGCACCAGGGGCCCCAACAATAATTATTCTTTAGAAGTAATAATGTTCAACAACAACAACAACAACACAACAACAACACAGCCGTAGCACAGCAGCAGCAGCAGCAACAACAACAACAACGACAACGCCAACAACAACAACAACAACTACAACAACAACAGCAACAGCAACAACAACAACAACGACAACGCCAACAACAACAACGACAACGCCAACAACAACAACAACTACAACAACAACAACAACAGCAGCAGCAACAGCAACAACAACAACAAAACAAAACAAAAACAAAAAACTACCAGAGTCCTGAACCCCATCTTCCTGCGCCATCATTCAAGCCGTTTCGATATGAGAGGGTCTCAGGGCCCGAAACTGGGCGAAACCGCCCCTTGTGAAAAAAATGCAACGCCCAGATCTGAGGGATTGTGGGAGGCCGACTCCAATCCCACCTGAGCGGCGAAAAGAAACGGGCCGCACGCGAGATGACACGGCGACCTTATGCGGTGCCTCAGGCCGGCCGCCAGCGCGGCACGCCACATTGGAAACGAGGGCGCTTACGCGCGACCTTACGCGGAACACTTACGCGCGAATGTCGGCGCAGTCGATCCCGTTGTCTTCCGTCGCTCATCTGGGAGGCCTAGACTGTCACACCCCGCGCCTGCTGGCGCTCGGACGCGCTCCGGCTCGCTGGGCCGCCGTCGGCGAGCGGCTCCTAGCGGGGCCGCCGAACGGGCCGCCACCGGTCGCGCGCCGATCGGCGAGCGGAGGGATTTCTGCCGAAATCTGCGCGCCGCGCGGGGTTGGCCCTTGGAGTGGCATTTCAGACTTGCTCTAGGACATGATCATCATCATCATCAGCATCATCATCATCAACAACAGCAGCAACCGCAACCGCAACAGCAACAGCAACAGCAACAGCAACAACATCAACATCAACACCAACATCAGCATTAACATCAACATCAACATCAACATCATCACCATCATCATCATCAACTACGTCATCATCCTATTGGAGTGCCATGTGAGAACTGCTCTAGAACAGGAGCGTACCGTAGACGGATCTACCCTTTCTCCGATCTTGTACTGCGCCAAACGAAACTCTCGCGTTGTCCGTGGACTTACCCACCGAGTGTCTACATACGTGACGACATCCACGCTTGTGGCTGGAAAATGAGAACAGTAGTTGGCATAAGCCCCAAATATTGGTCTTCTACTATTTGCCCTGTTACGGGCCCTGGGGCCCTCACGCATCGATCTGGCTCGATAGTCACCGCAGAAAGATGGGGTCCAGGGCTCTGGTCGATCTGGTCGACATTTTTACGATGCTGCAACTGTTGCTCGTGACGGAGGCTCTCAGGGTTACAGTCAAAATTCATAGTAAGGATGTGCACCAAACATGCAAGCCCCTTGGACGCTCATGTCAAAGTTTTTCGAGCTGGGCTGGGCATCGAAAGTTGTTAAGGATGGACCGAAGAGACAGGATGCAAAGGCACCCTTTTGGAAGGTGACCCATCCTTATCATCGACTTCGACTGTGGGCGGCGGACATGAGCGCGGCGAGCGTGCGCGGGGGGCTGAAGGGCACGGCGGGAGAGGGGGGGAATTACAAACGTCAGGGGCATCCAAGAGGGGGGGTGGCAAAAGCCCGCTCTCGATCTTTCGCGATAATGCCCATAACTGGCCCGCCCCCGCCCCGACCTCCCCCCCTTGCCACGTCACGATTCGGGCCCTCTCCGTCGTCCCGGGCCCCCATGCCAACCAGTGTCGCCGATCTGGGCGACCCATCGGCCAACGTTGATTATGGATTTGCGTGCATGCATATACATACACATATACATTTACATTTACATCTACATCTACATCTACATCTACATCTACATCTACATCTACATCTACATCTACATATACATATACATATACATATATATGTATATACATATATACATATATGCATATATACATATACATATACATGTACATATACATATACGTATACATATACATATACATATACATAAACATATACATATATATATATATATATATATATATATATGCATGTACATATACATATACATATACATATACATATACATATAAATATACATATACATATACACATTCATATACATAAACATACAGATTGTCCTATACATATACATATACATATACATGTACATATACAAATACATATACATGTATATATAATTATATATATACACATATATATATATACTGAAGCCACACGCGCGCTGCGCGCGCTCAGATTCTAGCCAACTCCGAGGACTGACCCCATCCTCAACCCATAATCCTTATCTTCGGGAATGGGGTCGTCGTCGGCGTCGTCGGCGTGAGGAAAGGAAGGGGGGAAAGAAGGAGAGCGGAGGGAGGGAGGCATGGAAGAAGGTAAGCAGGTAGTCAGGAAAAGCCGACAGGGAGAGAACGAGAAAGGGAACGAGGGATTTATCACCAGATGAGTTGAGAACCCTCCTCATTCCTCTTCCTCCGCCTCCTAGTTTGTTTTGCCTTCCTGCTCCTCCTCCTCCCCCTCCTCCTCCTCATCATCATTTTTTCCTCCTACTCCTACTCCTCCTCCTCCTCCTCCTCCTCCTCTCCTCCTCCCTCCTCCTCCTCCTCCTCCTCATTCCTCCGCCTCCGCCTCCGCCTCCGCCTCTTCCTCCTCTTCCTCCTGCTCCGCTTATTTTTCCTCCTCGTCTCCTCCTCTCTCCCTGCCCTCCCTCCTCCTCCTCCTCCTCCTCCTCCTCCTCCTCCTCCTCCTCCTCGTCCTCCTCCTCCTCCTCCTCCTCCTGCCTCCTCTTTCCTCCTCCTACTGGCGGCGACAATCTATTCCAATGAGAAAAAAAGAAAACAAAAAAAAAAAAGGGCTCCCCAGGAAGCTGATGAGTTGAGCCGTGTCGGGGTTCTCTTGGAGGCCTGTGGACCCGTCTTTGGGCGATCTGAGAAGGAAGGACGGAAGGAAGGAAGGAAGGAAGGAAGGAGCAGCGGCTGAGTAGTAGTTGCGCTTCAATCCTCGTCCTCCCGCGGTGTGTCCCTCCGTCGCCTCCTTCTCCATAGTGTAACCCGCATCATCATCCTTGTCCTATGCGCCGCCCCCCGTCTCCCTCAATATCTCCTCCCCCCTCCTCCTACTCCTCGTCCTCTTCCTCCTCCTTCTCACCCTCCCTCCTGTTCTTCCTCCTCCTGCTCATACTAACTATTCCTCCTACTCTACTCCCTACTCATACTTCCTAATTCCTACTACTACTACTACTAAACTACTACTACTAAACTACTACTACTACTACTACTACTAATAATAATAATAATAATAAACTACTACTACTACTACTACTACTACTACTACTACTACTACTACTACTACTACTACTACTACTACTACTACGACTACTACTACTACTAACTACTAACTACTACTAACTACTACTACTACTAACTACTACTACTACTACTACTACTACTACTACTACTACTACTACTACTACTTCTACTTCTACTACTACTACTACTACTACTACTACTACTACTACTACTACTACTACTGTTGCTACTACTACGACTACTACTACTACTACTACGAGTACTACTACTACTACTACTACTACTACTACTACTACTACTACTACTACGACTACTACTACTACTACTTCTACTCCTCCTCCTCCTGCTACTACTTCTTACTACTACTACTACTACTACTACTACTACTACTACTACTACTACTGGCGGTCTCGTGCACCACATCACCACGGCTCAACCACCTAGGGAAGAGCGTCCTTGTGGCTGCCTCATTACCAGTATGTAGCGCGCACCTCTTCTGGGTGAAAGGGCGGGTCTGACATGCTTGCAACGTCAGGCGCACGCACCGTGGGCAGTTGGGCCACCAGCCCAGGGTGAAGCGCCAGCAACGGCATCGCAGCACACGGGGCGACCCCAGCACCGCCACCCAGGCCGACTAGCGCGGGAAGACGCGAGGCTAGGCCTGGGTGGCAAGCCAAGGCCAGGTCTGACATGCACGCAGCAACTGGCGCCTGGCCGAGGGCAGCTGGCCCCTACAGCAAAAAGCAAGGCGCAGGCGGCAGCAGAGCAGCACACGGGGCGACCCCAGTACCGCCACCCAAGCCTACAAGCGCAAGAAGGCGCGAGATGAGGCCAGGATGGCAGGCCAAAATGGCCAGGCGCCCGACGGCGACGCTGCAATACACGGGGCTGCCCCAGCACCGCCAGCGAGGCCAACGAGCGCAAGTGAACGTGAGGAGGCCGATGGCAAGCCAGTTGGCGAGCCAAGGTGGCAGAGTGCACAGGTAGCCATTTGCCTAGCCTAGGCACAGGCTACAGGTGACGCCACGCGAGTGGGGGCGCCGCTATGGGCCCGCCGCACTACTGAAAGCAGCAAGTAGACAATTTGGCATGTACTCACGCGGCCTGTCAAGGCCCTGGAACCTGCTGGGCGTTATTCCTCAGGCCTGCTGGCCTGTTCCCTGCGCGATGGCGGCGAAGACCTGCGACGGCGGCGCCCGCGCCTCCCCGCCGAGGTCGCCACTGCCCCCCGCCTGCCCTGCGGGCCCAAAGATCTGGCGCTCGAGGTCTTCACCGAGGGCCACGTTCAGGGCTGCAGCGCTTGTGACCTGCTGCGGGAGCACGTCCGTCTGCGGTGGCGGGTGGGTCGGCGGCGGCGGCGCATCAGGGGGCGCCGTCGGCGGCGGCGGCGGGGGGCCCATGATGGCCACGGCCTCTGGCGGGACTCCCGCTGGCGGTGGTGGCGGGCCCTCGCTGCCGCGGGCCCCGCTCGCCGGGCGGCACGCGGGGCGACCCCTGTACCACCCCCGCCGCCCGAGAGGCTGCCCACTTTCAGGTTGTGGCGGCGCTCGTAGTGCGCCAATTCCCTGTGCGCCATCTCCAGGCGCTCCCTCTTGGCTTTGTTCCGCGTCTTCTTGCTGCACCCCGCCCATTCGGGGTCGTTCAGTCCCCAGGCGACCTGCGCGTAGAGGTCGGCCCACTCGAACGTGGGCAAGCTCTCCCAGGTGAGCCCCTCCATCAGCACATAGTGGCCCCCCCATTGTGCCTGGTGTGGAGCATAGCGCTTGAAGACGGTGCCAACCGCCATCGGCTCTACCTTGGGCAGGTGCTGCAGAAGGTCCACCGCGCTGAGCACTGCGATCCCATCCTTCTTGAGCTTGTCGTAGCGCAGCAGGGCCCTCAGGTCGCGGATGTCCTCCTCGGGATGCTCCGCGTGCATGTAGTACGCGCGTGGCGGGTTCTCCTCCTCCTCTATGAACTCGGCGCAGACTCCGTAGGAGGTCGAGTAGCGCGCCCCGCAGTGGCAGTACCAGCGCTGGCCCGTCTCTCCCGCTGCCTCCTGGGCGCATGAGAGCATCTGTGACCAGCGATCCGATCGGATCACCGAACAGCATCCCCTGGGATTATCCCAGGACTTGTTGGCCGCGCACTTGTAGTACATGTTGAACGTGAGGCCCTTGTCACGGTAAAACTGGTCCGTGTAGTCGCCCATGCGGCGGTAGGCCTCCTGCGCCGCGGTGTCACCCTGGCACCCCTCCTTCCAAGCACGTTTGTGTCCCAGGTGGGCGTCTGCATTCCCCGAGGCTTCCAGGACACCCCTCTTCAGCCTTCCCACATCCTCCTCCGCCTCCTCGCCCAGCGCGTCGA